ATTTCCTTAGTTTTAGACTTAAACACTTTTTTCAGTAACTCGTGTACTTGCGCCCCTTGGAGGCACTTTGTTTTCGATTTCCAATTGTAAAGTTATCGCCAATAAAAGAACACCCCTTTTTGGGACTTTGTCTCAAGAGGTTTGTCCCTTACACAATCGTCTGATCACTTTTAATTGTTATCGACTAACCCGCGCGAAACAATAACTATTCTAAAATACATAAAAAAAAAAAAAAAACCTTAATAGAGCCCAAACAGGGGTTTAAGGTGTGATGAATATATAAAAATTATGGATGAAAATAATGACTCCCTTACTAAATGAATGTGAGTAAACTACGTCTTTTATTAAATTAAATTTTTTCCCTATAATTTACTATGTATACTCTCGTTGTACCTTTATCATTCCTTGATTGATTATTAAATAAAAATTAAAACTTTGAAGTTTTTCAAGTTTTTTCGAATCAGTATTCGTGTGTGAATCAATGATTTATTGATCAAGAATCGATTCTTAGATGTTGCAAACAAACAATTCTCTGAAATGCAAAGGGCAAGTGTTAAAAGTTTGTCTTCTTGTTCTTGCGTAGAGAGTATAACCGTATAGATTAGTTTTGGGCTTCAACATTATTGTTTGAAAGATGAAACTGGCAGCTACGAAAGTTTTTGGCGGAGGGGAATTATGCTTTTAATTATCACATAACTTTTAATATTTACACGAAATTGATCATTTTAATTTTTTATCTTGTAATTGAGACTATATTACTCCAATAGAATAACCTATAAATATACATTGAAACATGTTTAACTATAATTATGAAAGTAGTCACCAAGTCTAATAATATTCGAACATTAAGGGAAAAAATATATCTCAAAGGATAAAATATTAGAAGAAGTACAAAAATTTATGAAACAAAAAATTCCAAAGAAATAAAAAATAAATAATAATAACCAACAAAAACTTTACAATTTTTATCGATGAAATCAAAGCAACTTTCAATTTAAAGTACTCAGTGAAACAAAAATGATTCAACATTAAGCCAACGAACAACACTTTTAGCTCAAATTTATGGAAAACAATGTATGTACAGAGGGGGGACTACCGAACCGTGTCCCCCCTCTCACATAACGCGTGGGCCCCACCTCTTATTGTGAGTAGTAGGTAAATGATTAGGTAAAAAAATTTGATTTTTGTAGCATGGCCCCAAATTTATTATGCTCAATATTTTAGTTAATGGAATAATTCAAGTAGAGCGCAGCCAGCGAGCGAGCGAGCGAGCCAAGCTTTCAATATATAGTGGCTTCTCTTGACGGTTGTATTTTATATTAACATCGGATACAAAATAAATTTAAAAAAAAAAGGTTCTTTGAATCAAAATTAGGTTTAAAAGTCTCATTTTAATGTAAAATGTAATTGAAAATTTATGGGTCCCATGAAATGTTATTTTGACCTAAATTAAAATTTTGATTTTGATTTTCACCAAAAAGGGATATGCATTTTTTATTTTTATTTTAACCTAATTAAATTGACAGTAACCCAATTGAATTCGACACATTTGAGGGTCCGTTATTTTAATTCTTTTGTACAGTTAGCTTTTCCAAATTTAAATGAACATCTATTTCTTCGATGAAAATAAGTGGACGAATGTATATTCCGATTTGCAAATCTTAATTAAAACTATTAGATATAGTGGTATGTGGAAAAGTTAGTTGATGGATGAAATTTTGATTTAATCAAATCTCGTCAATCATCTGTTGGTAAATCATTATGTAAATTTAGTATAACCCAAAATCCAAGAGGAACTTTCACACACATTTCAACTTAGTCACTGGATTTTAATTTGTTCTTAATTAGTCATAGTTCATATAACGAGATTTTTGAAAAGTTAAAAATTATTTTTGAGATTAAAAAGTTATATCTAGATTTGTTTGAACAATTTTTTAGAAATATTTTATTTTATTAGAAAATCTTCGATAAAAAATTAGCCTAATATGACTTTCTCAATAAACTCTTCAACAAAAAGAAAAAAGAAAAGCCATGTCAAATGTCCATTAGTCTGTCTATAAAATTAGTGACCAAACTTATGTTGCAGACAGAAGTGCACACGTGTAAGTACCTTACAAGTTGTTGTGTAACATTAAAGGCTTGTTTGTCTTCAATTATAATCTATTCATAATTTAAATATCAATGTAAATCTTTAATTTTAATTATACGTTCAAAAAGATCTACAATTACTACCTATTATAATTTAAACAAATTACATTAGCCCCCGTTCATCTTCTATAAAATTATAACTCTTTTTTTTTTTTCCTTCAAACTTAATTTTAACCATACATTCACATAATCAAATATTTTGCACGTAAATTCAATTTGTTTCTATTTTTAACCACACACCTTACAAAAAAAATAATAATAATATTAATAAATAAAATAAATTGGATTAAAATAAATATGGGCTAAAATTTGGAAGTGTATGATTAAAATTAAATATTTTGCACGTAAATCCAATGTATGATTAAAATAAATATAAAAATAAATTGTTTAGCCCCCGTTTGACCCCATTCCATTTTGTTTCATTTTTCTCTCTCCTGTTTTCAACCATACAATCTTACATAAAATAATGTTATACGTAAATAAAAAACTTTTCATTCTTTTTCAACCACTCATTTAAAAAAAAAATACTATTACATTCATTTTATTTCCAAAGAAATGGGGGCAAACGAGGGCTTAATTTAAAAAGGGTCCGACAGGGACTCACTTTTTTCAAAAAAAATAAGAAGTAAAGAACTTATTTTAATGAAAGACAAACATGTGCTAAAACTCCATTAAAGAGAGTCAAACAGGGATTAAAAGTCTAAATTCCCAATTTTCAACAAAGACATATTGAGATTAAATGAACCCACCAATCAGATTTAGTCAACGCCAATTTGATCAATCTAGTCACTGTCAAATCTGACGGCTCGTGATTTTTTAAATTTCGTTTCATTGCCGTTAGTACACAGTCCGCATTTGGACACGACCTTCCAGAAACATATTACACCGATTTTTCCATTTGTACCCAGAAAGACGTGGGTTCACCCAAATAAAAATTGACCAAAAAAATAATCCACGCCTACTATGAGGTGTCGGTAGCCTAGCATTTCTGTCTTTACACCCGACCATTATTAAATGAAAATGAGCTTCGAAATTATAAATTTTTAAAAAAATGTGTGAATGAAAAAAAAATTTAGTTTCCGTGTAAAATATTTTATTGTACATATATGTAATTGAAATTGAGTTAAAAAAAAATTAAATAATAATAGACGAATAGTTAAAAACAAATTTTGACAAAATTAATAAAAATTGTGAGTTTTATGAAATATATGATTAAAATATTTTTAATTTTTTAACTAAATCAAATGGAATTAAGCCCTGCTTGTTGGATATTATTTAAAGTTTTTCGAGAATGTGTGATTAAAAAATAGGGAAAAATTTGAATTCACTTAAAAGTATTTTATTATATAAAAGTGTGGTTTAAATTGGATTTAAAAATTAAAAAAAAATTGTTTTAAAGAATGACAAACGGAGCTAAGGTTGTAATGTAATTTGAAACCAATAAAGTCAATATATTTATATATTTTTCTTAAGAAACCTACTACTTTTGCAGATGTAGGCGGCTTAATTTATTTAAGGGACATTTTAAACAATTATAATAAAACTTAAATACAATGAGAGTGTATCTGATTGTTAATATTTATCATGAAAAATATTATTTTTCTACCTAAATTTTCATTTTCGTGCACTTTGATTTTTTTTTTCATTGAAAATATTTTGCTACTTTTAATCACATAACCATATTTTCTTTGAAAATAAAGAAATATTTTCTTTAGGAGGAGTATATTTTTATTTTCCCGGTTATTTATTCTCTCTTACCCTCTCATCTACTCCATTTCTTTCGCATTAATAAATAAAACAAGTATAACATTTTTCAAATTGAAAATAAAATTAATTAAATACATTTAATTTATTATTTTTATGCAAATAGTTTATATGCAACTCAATTGCCAAGAATTTATATTTTTCAAGTAAATTACATGTTTGTAATCAAATACAACCTAACGGATTTTGCTACTTGTACATAAAAATGATACATAAATAATTATAAAAAATGACGTGGAAAGAAAAAATTGGATAAGAAAGATAATTGTATTTTAAATTAGTAAATGATAGAGTGTCATGTAAACATTATATAATCCCTTATTTAAATTTTGATATACATATAACAATGTTCTACAATAAATTATCATCAATGAAAAAAAATGTATATTCACCAATGATGTCAACGGTATTATTGTAGATAATTTAAGATATATTTTTTAGTTTCCATTTATAATGTTAATATCCGTTAAGTTCTTTTTTTTTTTTTTAACTATTATTTCATTACGTACAATTTTATTAACATTGCTAATTATATTTTATATTTTTGTTAATTTATTTATTGACCAATTTTTATTTATTTTTACCTATAATTAAGTTTATGAAATCTATATTTTTTAATTGTTACAAATAGGAAGTTAGTAATACTGAATTATTTTTTGACTAATATTTAATTTCTTATAATTTTAAGATAATATTTAATCTATTTTAAAATTTTATTTAGAGATGCAAGTTTTACCAATATACTAAAACTCATTTTCAATTACATATTTGATGGGATCCACAAATTTTATCAACTTTTTAATCACATATCTCACCAACTTTTATTAAAATTTACTAAGAACTTTTATTTTTATTCATATGAAAAAATAAGTAACTATTAATGAAATTCATCCCAACTAAATAATGAAATACCTTAGCTAATGAATATCTCTTATCATAAAATCTAGAAGATAATGCAACAAATACAGAAGTATAATACAAGTCAATTTGGTATAATTTATTTCTCATCATGAAAAGTTGTACAGTTTTTATTGGCTCAATGCCCCCTCCTTTAAATTACAAATATACACAGATTATTGGAATATAGGAAAAGTAAAATAATGACGCCGATTGCCAACCAAAAATGATTCAAAGTTTGGACTTTTGGAAACTTTTCTTCTCTCCAGGCCACGCACAGAGACTGTCACCTCCCACAAATATTCTCTCTTTCTCTCACTACCCTCATTTTTCAGCATCAGGTTAGAGTTTTATCTGTTGTGATCCCTCTTTTTCTCACTGTTTATTTTAGCATTTGTTGGGTTTTTAGTTTCTGGGTATTGAAGATTTAGCTACAGAAGGTGGGTTTATGGCAATAACAGTATGAAAGATTGAATCTTTTTGTGTTCATCTAGATTAGTTTTTAGTGGGTTGTCTGAATTATTGTCATTTCTTTTTTCCCTCTTTTTTTTTTTTTTTGGGTGGGTTAATGTTAATATGGTGATTTTATATTTTTACTTGTTTGTTTTTCTGTTGTGAATTTGTTCGTTGTTTCTTCTGTAATTAGAGACATGGATTCTTGATTCTGATAAAAATAGATTTTGATTTTGAATATGTAATTCGACTCCCATATATTACTAAAATGCATTGAAGAGCTGATTCTGTTCGTTACTATAAAAGTGTTTAAAAGTTATTTATCTCAAGATTTTTTTATCATTTCCTTGGTAATTTGCTTTTTCTCTGGTAAACTGATATTCTTGTGATTTGTTTAAATTGGATTGAACTGCGGGATTACGATGATATCTTTCATGAATTATTATATCCTAACTTGACTAAACGTTTTACGAGATCCTATGTTTGTACTTATGGAAATTGAGATATATTTAATTAGGAGGGAATGATTAATAACCAACCTATTGGATATTTTTTGTAGAATTTGTAACTAGCAGAGAGAATGTCGGGTGGCGGCACACAGAGCAGTTTAAGAAAAACTCTTGGAGCTCTTAAAGATACCACCACTGTCAATTTGGCGAAAATAAATAGTGACTACAAGGTATCACCAAATCTTTGTTCTTATCAAATTTCAAATTTTAATTTATTTACTGGTACTGGATTTTAGTTGGATTATTCTTTTCACAGGAATTAGACATTGCCATTGTTAAGGCAACAAATCATGTTGAGCGCCCTGCAAAGGAGAGACACATAAGAGGTAGGCACACATCAAGTTTACGGGGCCATTCTAATTTCTATCCTACTAGCTATCTTTTGCTTATTTACTTAAAATTGGACTAGATACCGAAATGGGGGCCTGATTATGTTTTCTGCATTCTTATTTTCAGCCATCTTTGCAGCTATATCGGCTACTAGGCCTCGAGCTGATGTAGCATACTGTATACATGCCCTTGCTAGACGATTGTCAAAGACTCATAACTGGGCGGTACGTCCTTGAGACTTAAATTACATGTTATTGAATAATGATGTTATGGAGAATTTTTGTGACTGACAAAAAGAAATGGGAAGGAAAAATATGTTTGTGCCTCCTAAATGATAATAAATGTGATTTGTTAATGGATTGTGTCTGAATCCAATTACGGAGAGTGTGTTACAATGATTTTGCATGTTTCAATGTATATCAGTAAATACTAAGGCTTGGAAGCTGTTCTAGTTTCCAGGTTTGAGTCTCACCCTTAAGGTCAAAATAAATTCTTGTGCTAAAAATGTAGTTCCCCCTCCACCGAAATGACAGTTTAATATGTTGTCTTTGATCAATCAATTCACTAATTCTTTATTTGATGAATGATGAGTGTTTCGAGAGCTTCAAACTTCCCCCAATTCAATGGTCTGTCATGGGATGAGAGATCCTTGGTTAACCTTCCAATTCCATAAAAATGGACCTTTAGCTGTTGAATAACACAGTCAGATTATGAACAATAATTGTGTCTTTCAATAATTTAATAGGTCCTTCTAACCTTTTGCTATCTATTTCTATCCATGATTTTAGTGAGGAGAACAATTGAAAATAGTAAGTAAATTGATTTCTAATGTTGGTTGACATGTACAATAAATTGGAAAGGAAATGGTGATGAAATGTTTAACGCATATTTAATTAGGGTCCAAACTCAAGCCTCTCAGCCTCTTTTTCTCCTTGCAATCCCCAACAACATTTGATTCCATCTCTCTCTACCACATAATATTCACAATTACATATGTTTTTCCTTGAAAACCAAATTCATTATAGTTTTCATTTTTTCTGGTGTTTTCTTTTCTTAATAATCTATTGATTCAATTGGAACTTCATTGTGGCTGTTGGTGAAAGAAAATGGCCATGGATGTTTTATTTGTTGATAGAATGCTCTAGTATGAATTTCGCCTTGTTCACAACAGGGGCAGAGCCAGGGGCACAAATAAAAATTTCATATTAGGCTGATATATAAAGGAAAAATTCACAATATATATTTATATATTTTTTTACATAAAAAAGCTATAAATGGACTTGAGGCAGGTCTGGGCTAAGCTCCACCTCTGTCTCACACTAAGATTCTGCATATGCTATGGCTTAAATATGTATGCTTGAGTATATACATATATGTAGATAGTGGGCTCCAATTATTGAGAGGGAAGAATTGTCAACCAGCTCATAGATGATATGTATTCATTGTCATTTCAATTTCAATATCTTAGTTCTCGGACATTAGTTCCAAGGTCATGATGACATTGTTATACTGAATATTACTTTATTTGTGTGATCTTCAATGCCTAATTGTCTAGTCATCATAATTGATGCTCAACTTTTTCCTATCTTTGTCTGTAACCTCATCCATACATTTTAGGTTGCCTTGAAAACTTTGATTGTTATCCATCGTGCATTGAGAGAAGTGGACCCCACATTTCAAGAAGAAATTATAAATTATGGTAGGAGTCAAAGTCATCTCCTTAACATGGCTCATTTTAAAGATGACTCCAGTCCAAATGGTATAGTTTTTATTTTCTTTCACTAGTTTATTGGAATCTATAGAAAGCAAATTGTTCAGATGCTAAAAATGCTTCTCTTGGACAGCATGGGATTATTCTGCCTGGATACGATCCTATGCATTATTTTTGGAGGAGAGACTGGAATGCTTCCGGGTGCTGAAATTTGATGTGGAGACAGATCATCCGGTAAGAAATTTTTTTTTTTTTAGTTCAATATCGAGTCACCAACATTAACACTATCTATTCGAGATTTTGAGTTGCTTAAAAATTTTAAATTCATTTCTACAACATCTGAAAGTAGTTGACACTGAGTTCTGTCCCTTATTCTTTTTTACTAACTTTTCCCAGGTGGGATTTGTTTTGAGTATGTGGAATATGTTTCCCAAGCCTTAAGAAAACATTTACATTTAACAACATTTAGCCCCGAATATATTAGGATAACTTACATTTTACTTTTTTCTAAGGAAAAAATTAAAAAATAAAACTAAAAAAATAGGTCACTTTCTTCAAAGGTAACTCTTAAAAATGTTTTGCGCAAGCCTTGATTTTGTTTGAGCTTTGTTTATATCTCATATTCAGTTCAAAATTTCAAATTTTATCTTGGTTTGCACAAAGTTGAAGGTCTTGATCAATGTCAAATGAAATATGTCTTAAACCGGCATTTTCACTTCCTGACCTCACGTGTGGACGACATAAGAAAGTTGTTTTTTGGATATTGTTCGAAGAAGTTGATTACATAGTGCAGTTTTGCTTTTGTCTTTCTCGACTGTCCTCTAAATGAAATGCTGATACAGAGAACAAAAGATTTGGACACTCCGGAGTTGCTTGAGCAGTTACCATCGTTGCAGCAACTTCTATTCCGTGTCATCGGCTGTCAGGTAATTTCATGTTATATAAGTTCAACGATTGGTGGAACAGTTGTCTTGTTCTGTAACCTTGTTCTATACATTGAATATACTCCTTATCGTTTATATATATCATGTTAATGCAGCCACAAGGGGCAGCAGTTCACAATTTTGTCATTCAGTTGGCCCTTTCCATGGTAAGAGAAGTCCTGATTTTTATGCTTTGCCTTAAGAAGTTAATTGCATATGGCATTGCCTTATATATATTTTATTTTTTATTTTTTTTTCTGATTCTCTCTTGTTATTCCTGTAGGTTGCTTCGGAAAGTGTTAAAATTTACAATGCAATAAGTGACGGTACAGTTAATTTGGTTGACAAGGTAATTTTGACTTCTAAAAACTGTAAAAATCTCTTACATTAAACATTTGACTTATGCGTCTTCATTCCGACAGTTTTTTGAGATGCAACGGCACGATGCTCTTAAGGCTTTGGATATATATCGGAGAGCTGGGCAGCAGGTACACCCTCAAAAAACGGATTCTTTCCATTTTTGAAGTGTACCATAAAAGTGACCATTCGGACCAGAATATTTTTTAACCGTTCTACCAAAAATACCCCTCAGCTGGTGGTGGATACTGCTGGCAGATACAGTGACTGAATAAAATGGGGGAGTTTAAAATACTTAATTTTGATTATTGAAAATGTTAACAAGTCAGTGCCTGTCTTAAGCATGGCAAAATTCAAATGATCCCATTCCTTGGAGAGGGTCATTATTCCTTTTCAACTATTTCAAGAAATTGCCACTAAAATAGTTTTCCTTACCATAAAATCTTATGATTTACCATTTTTCTAGGCTGAGAGAATGTCAGAGTTTTACGAAGTAAGTAAAAACCTTGATGTTGGACGTGGAGAAAGATTTATCAAGATTGAACAGGTTCAAATTCATAGATTCCTTTTGACGATGGTTCAAATATTTTGTTAATATCTTTAGACCCTGAAAACTTATTCTTTACTTTGTTGACTCGGGATGAAGCCTCCTGCATCGTTTTTACAAGCTATGGAGGACTATGTGAGAGAAGCACCACGATCTTCCCCAGCTCGCAAAAATTTGGTAAGCTTCTCTCTTATGGACAGAGGGACATATGTTCATTGAAACTCCCTATATTATGCTTAGTTTGAGAGTGCTTTTATAATCCCGTGTACCCAGACTAGTATGGTGAACGTGAAATCTTTTGGATCCAGGCTGATGATAAGGCCAAGGTGATCTTGCCCATAGAGTATAATAAAAAGAATTCAGAGCTGAAGGAGGAACATACGTCGCCCCCTCGACCTGAGCCCGAACCAGTTAAAGTGGAAGCTCCCGTTTCTGAACCACCTGATTTATTGGTATCTAACAGGAATGGAAGTTTTTGTTTCTTTAAAGAGAATAGTTTTGTCAACCTTTTTCTGATGATCAAATTTCTTTGCTGTAAAGGGTCTGGAGGATCCTGTTCCGGCTGCCTCGGAGTTAGATGAGAAGAATGCTATGGCTTTAGCCATTGTGCCAGCAGGTAAATTACCTAGAAAATCTAACTGTACCAGTACATTGGAATGTAAAGAACATTGGAACGTTGAGAGCATGATAAATTATAAGTTTTGGTTTAGGTAGACTGACTTTCACATTTGTTTTAAAGTGTACTACTTATATAAGTTAATAAGTTTCAAAATACATAATTTTACTGATCAAAACTTGAAATAAGTAAGCGATGCTTTTAAAGTGAGGGACTTTTTTCTTAAAAAGTAACATGTCATACATGTTTTGAAACAAAAGTAACTTTTACTCTATTTTAAGCTTGGCCAAACAAAATACAACTTCCGATAATGTTATATTGATTTTATTACCCTTGATGTTTTAATGAGTGAAATACGCTAATCTTGTTTCCATTATAGGTGTTGCCGACCAACCAGGTTCCACTGGACCTAATCTGTCAAATGGAGCTACAGGCTGGGAATTAGCACTTGTTACGGCTCCAAGCTCGAACGAGAGCACCACAGTCACTAGCAAATTGGTACTTCTTGGATTTTATTCAGTCGTTTTACTGTCAAAACTGTTTAATTTCTGAAAACCACCGGCTCTAGTTTCTTCCCTGTATGTAAACGCCACATCTTCACATTTTTTATGCATTTTCATGCATTCAACATTGTATCAACTTAGAAGATGCCCGTAATGAAATGTGCCTTACAATGATGCTTTTTTATGTTGATAAAGGCGGGAGGGCTAGATCTACTTACACTAGACAGCCTATACGATGATGCAATCAGAAGAAGTAACCAGAATATAAGCTACAATCCATGGGAACAAGTTCCAATGTCCAATCCGATGATGTCACAAACAGTGCATGACCCGTTCTACGCCTCCAACATGGTGGCCGCACCACCATCTGTTCAGATGGCAGCCATGTTCCAACAGCAACAGCAACAGCAGATCATGATGATGGGCCCACAACAACCTGGGAATCCATTTGGAAACCAGTATGGAACCAGTGGCTTTCCCCATAGCTCAGGTATGCCTTTTCAAGCCTACAATCCTAATAACGGCCTTTTATGAGGAATGCCTGGAAAATATATTCTTTTGCTGGAAATACGAGGACGAAAATAAGATCTCCAGTTGCGGATTTTACGTTGGAGATTGATGATTTGTATCATATATTGGAAGTGAAATAGGCAGGTATAAAATTAGTTGTTCATTAAGTAGAAACTTTTGTTGATTGTTGATTATTCACATCATTGTTGGAAATAATGCTTTTGGGGTGTGCTTATAATTTTTCAAACTGCTTTTGCTCAAGCAGGGGTGTATAACTTGTTGATGTCGTTTTTTACTGTTCTGTAAATCCTTGTATTTTGTTTCTGATTCAAGTATTAATATATAACAAATACGTTCAGTGATTCTATTCATAAATCTGTCACAATCTACTTACTGATGGCAGATGGATTATTTGTAGACTAGAACTCTTTGTAATTAATGTAACACTTGGTATCAAGCATCTCGACTAAGAGCTTAATATGGCCGATCCTTCTTACTCTCTTCTAGCATGCTCGACCTCCTCCCCGTTCTTAAATTACCGGTCATCTCCCAACAAGCTAGATATGGCCAATCCTCCTGCTCCTCCCTCATAGCATCCTTGAAAACCTCCCATCCTTCCATTACCAGTCAAGCATCTCCTTTATAAGATATGGGCCATATGGCCGATCCTTCTTCCTCTCTAGTAGCATTCTCGACAATATCCATCCTTTCATTACCAACCAAGCATCTCCCCTACATTCAAGATATGGCCGATCCTTCATCTCTTTTAGCATCCTCGACCACCTCCCGTCCTTCCATTACCAATCAAGCCTTTCCTGTACAAGCAAGATATAGCTCATTATATGGAGTCTAAGTTATGGTGCGTTTTGTCGTTTCTCCGAGAGTCATCTCCTCACGTCGTAAAGGGAAGTTCACAGGGAGGAGAATCGCATTTCGAATGTCCGACCCAAGTGCGTATAAGTTGTGATCACATCTGAATTTACCAAGGGGGAAGGCCACTACTTCTCGGGATTAGTCGGAAGAAGTTCAGACACCTGAGTCATAAAAAAAAAAAAAGAAAAAAAAATGGGGGGGGGGGGGGGGGC